CATTCCTCCCACGTCTCCTGTCCTGGGCCTGATGGTGGGTGTCAGGAGTGGTGGATGTGGAGGGGGCCAGGTAGATCAAGATGGGACTGTGGTGGGGATGGTTATTTCAGGGGATGCTCAACCCATCCTCCCCTTTGATTCTCAAGGGACCTGGGACCCCATATACAGTTCTCTTTCCTCCTGTTCTGAAGCAGAAGCTTCCAGACCTCAGCCCTCCCAGGGAAATCAAAAGATTGTGTGAGATCCAAGGTTCTGCCAGTCACTCCCTACACACAGCCCCTATACTCTCCCCATCTGTTTTGTGGGGACAGGAGGCCCTTCTTCTGGGCCCAGACACCACTCAGGTTTTTAGTTGGTCCTGTGGTTCATCATCCCAGTTAGAATATGGGAGGGTGCTTGCAGATCTAGATGAGGGCATCACATGTGATGTACAGTGGGCAGGACCTGCAAATGATGTCTAGTATGACTGTGACTCTTCTGCTATATTGAGGCTTAGGTATTGTGTTTGCTTCATTCACTGAGTTTGTTAAGTGTCTCAGAAAGTGCCTGCATGTAGTAGATGCTTAATATTTACTGTGGAATGAATGAACTTCAGCCAGAACCATGCCAGGTATCTGAGTGGGCCTGGGGTCTCTCATCCTGCCCACAGAGATCCCTACTCTGGCCACACCAAGGACAAGGACCAGGATCAGCAAGATAGAATCTCAGACCTTTGCATTGGAATAGCAGGTTTCTTTCCATGTGCTTTTCTAAACTCAGGAAGGCCACAGACCAGTGGGGTGTGGCAGATGGCCTTTCATGGGGGAGGGGAAAATAATAACGAGGAACAACCCCGGCATGTCAAGCAGCCCTTTCTGCAGAGCCAGGCACCAGACAGGCACCTGCCATAGGTGATCCAGTAGGCCCTACAAGGAGGACTCTATGAGGTTTATCCACTACCACCCCACTTTGAGGAGCAAACCGAGGCTCAGAAAGATTTGGTCACATTCTCAAACACACAGCTAGCAGTGGGCAAGTCACCACTGTGCTGAGGAGAGGGCCATACTCACCTAGTGAACCACTGGTCCAGTACCTGTTGGGCAGTGTTGGAAGTGGGGTAGGTGGACAGCAATATGGCCACGTAGGAGACATTTCTCCCTGGTAGGTACCATGGATTTCACAGGCTTCTACACTGTATCTTCCTGGAGGGTACCCATCCTGCAGGCCTCATTTAGTTTAAGAGTTGATTCATCTTTGCCAGCAACAACAGGGGACAGTCAGTGGCATCACCATGAACTACCAGGAGGATGGAGGTCTGTAGCTCACCCAAGAACTCCCAGCCCGCTCAGGCACATGTGCAAGAGGAGGGACAGGAGTGCCCGCAGTGAAAAACGCTTTGGCCTTTGAAAGTACATTTTGAGTCTGGTTGAGGGGGAAAGTTATACAATTGTTACCTTCTAGGCAGTTTGTTAGCTGAGGCACAACAGACCTCCCTGTATTAATAGTCTGTATTCCTTCCCCTGGGGAAGCCGGGAGCAGGATCTACGTACAACCCCAGCTCTCCTGATGTGGTGCTTGTTGCTCACAGGGCTGAGCAGGAGCTGCCAATGGCAGGCAGCAAGGCTGCTTCCTTCTCCTTCTGGAGCCCCACCTCCCCGAGAGCAGGTTGAGGGGGAGCAGCAGCCCCAGCAGGAGGGAGGGGAAGGTGTGAACAGGCAGTGCCCTCCTACCTTCAAGTCTTGAGGCGCAATGTAGCTGTAAGGGCAAGACGTGTGTCCCTTCCCCCGGCCCAGCCTCGCTGCCACCGCGCCAGGAGAGGGACTGCGGAGCCCACACTTGCAAACTCCCCTAGAAGTCTCAGGGTGCAGCGCCCCCCTCCCCAGAATTCCCCACGGCCTCCACCTCTCGCGGGTGGTCTCAGTCCCTGTCCGAAGACCTGTGCCAATGACCCTAGTGGCGGTTCCGCTTTCTCCTCCCTCGGCGGTGTGATTTTGCGTCTGCAGTGTGATGGGAAACCATGCGGAGAAAATGACCCGCCTAAATTATTAGGAAGTTCCCACAGCCGACCCGACGGGCCCCACATCGGAGTCTCCTACATCTTCTCCAATGATGATGAGGACGTGGAGCCGCAGCCGCTGCCCCCGACGTGGACCTCTGACCCGCGGCTGCGCGAGGTGGGGGGCTCCGAGTTCTACCGCCACGACTGCATCTACCAGAAAAGCTTTGCGCGGGCTCCGTGGCGCTGAGCACCTACACGCCCGAGAACCTGCTCAACAATGCCGACCTGGCGACCTGGGGGAGTTCGTGTGGCAGGCGCAGTACCCGCAACTGGACTGTATACTTGGGCAATTTCCAGGTGCATTTGCATCGGCTGGAGGTGAGCAACAGCCTCCCACCCGACGCGAGCCGTGTGGTGAACCATCTACAGCTACGAGCCGCGGAGCCCCAGCGCCACGGTGCGCAGCGCGAGCTGAGCAGACGCCACTCCGAGAGCTTCACCCGATTGATGCCGCCTAGGCCAGCGCGGGTTCAAGATCGGCGACGAGCCGCGCTTCGGCCAGCAGCCCTATGGGGTGCAGATCCAGCTCTTTGCCCAGCGCAACCACGAGCTCGAGTTCCAGAGCCTGGAGGACCTGATTATGGAGAAGCGGAGCGACCACTTCGGGCGTGCAGCGGCGCTGCGGGAGCTCGCCAAGCACCTGCACTCCGCGGAGCTGGAGGAGGGCAAACGCAACGCCACGCAGACTGCGCCAGGCCGGGAGGAGGAGGACCGAAAGGCGGTGGTGCACCGATGCGCGAGCTGAGTGCGGAGCTGTGAGGCGAAGCTGTTTGCAGCACCTGCTGCCCACTCCCTTCCCTCACTCCCTCCTCCACCACCTTGTGGTCCCTGTCTGGGCTCCTGGGCCATTTGGAAAACGGAGAGTTGGCGAAATGCTCAGGCTTTGGCTTGAGCTTGTTATCTTGGACGGAGGAGGAAGAGGGAGAAGGTAGGAGCCCTTCGGCAGGGGGAGATTCCTGTCCGCCCGCTCAATCTTTCGTCCTTTCTGAAGTGGGGTAAACTGTTGATTTGCCTGACAATTAATCCCTGCTAGACCTGGATCCAAAAATCGACGCTTCTAACGCGCGCGGGGGTGGAGAAAAGTCAGAGTACCGTCGCCTGCCATTGCCTCCTACCCGCTTCGCCTCCCACCCTGGGCTTGGAGGATGCCCTGTACTAAGGCCAGAGCCGGTTTGTGGTGGTGTTACCCCCGCGGAGCTGTCTGTGGGATCCGGGAGTAGGGGGTGATTTATTTTATGGGATTCCTAGCGTGCAAAGCTGGTGAAATCAGGACCAGGTCTGGGAGCAGCAGGCTAAAACCTAGCAGCCTTCTATGATGTGTAACAAATAGTTGAGTAAATTTGGGCTACAAAACAGAGATTTTGCTACCTCCCTCCTCCCCATCCCCAAGCAATTCATCTTCTGCAGCTGGCTTCTAGCTGAGTCTCCTGCTCCCTCCTGCTCCAGCTGCCACTTCCAGGTTACAGGTAAATCACAGGCCAGCTAGGAGAAGGACCAATTATGGTTCTGTTTTGCTGCCTTTGTTTCTCGACCGCTATTGAAGGTGCTTACAGCTGCTTTATTTGTTATCGAAGGAGGGAATAGCCCTTTGTGTCTCTGATCTAATTAAACCTGTTTGGCTGCATTCATCCACCAGGTCACACGTTGGCTGGTGTCACCCCATAAAGTATCCACTACAGAAGCAGCCAAGCAGGGTCAAATATATATATTTCACTGTCATCATTGACTGTTAATGATGTACCACACTCGGCCCTGGTCTGGCACTTTGAAGAAATATCAGTCTCCTTTTGGAAATGTAGATCTAGTTCCTGTGTTTAATAATCTTTAAAGTTTAGTAATAAGCTCTGTGTTTATATTCTCCTGGTTGTGGAAAAACAGAGCAAGATAAATGTGGGTAAAGACATGTAACAGAGAGCCTGCAATACCTAACAGATTTGGATTTTCTTTTATGCTTAACACAGTAGCGAAAGTTGAAAGAAACGACCAATGTGCAGGCAGCAGTAGGGAAGAACAGAGCAGCACTGTCTAGCAGCTCTGGGGGCTGGGGAAGCCAGCTCTCTTTTTCACTCCCTCATCTCTGTCTCCCTCCTTTGCCCTCAAATGGAAAGTGAACGTCAGGTCACACTGAGGCATAGCAGTGACCAGCTGTTGTTACAAACGTCTTTGTGAGAAATGTGAAGTTGAGGGAAGAACACCTGTAAATTCCATACCAAGAGTAGCATTCTCCAAATCTCTAGAGAAGAGATTTTTGATAATAGGGCTTGAAAATGAACTAGAAGAGGAAATAGATCTACTCCAGATGCTGCTTTCCAGTGCAATGCAAATGTTTTTACAGGGTACCAGAAGTGTGAAATATGTTATGCTTCAGAATGGTGATTCCGTTGGAAGTTTTCTTAGGGTTATCATGCTTAAAGTAAAGCAGCAACCCACCAGTGAAAGTTTCAAAAAAGGGAATCACATCAACTGTTGGATCTTTCCTGAAAATGGCAGTGTTGTAGATAAGAGTTTTAAATGCCCCGGCAATGGCTACATTGGCACTTAAAAAAATAAATATATATATAAGGACACGGGGAGGGAGAAGGGTAAGCTGGGACGAAATGAGAGACTAGCATTGACTTATATATACTACCAAATGTAAAATAGATAGCCAGTGGGAAGCAGCCGCGTAGCACAGGGAGATCAGCTCAGTGCTTTGTGACCAACTAGGGGGTGGGATAGGGAGGGTGGAAGGGAGACCCAAGAGGGAGGAGATGTGGGGACATATGTATATGTATGGCTGATTCACTTTGTTATAAAGCAGAAACTAACACACCATTGTAAAGCCATTATACTCCAATAAAGATGTTAAAAAATATATATATATTTAATAATATTTGTTTCTCCTTAGGAATAAGATGTTAGAATTATTTTGTCCTGTACAATTTCATGATTAATTTTATAGGATAAGAAGAAAAGAAGCATGATGGTCAAGACTTCACAGAGGAAGCAACGTGACTGTAGAAACCAATTCAAAGCGTGGCTTAAGCACCTCCATCCCTTTGGGAATGTCTGTACATATTCAAGAGGCTGGTTACTAGAATCACATCCTATCCTGGCAATGAGATCAGATGCCATCAATGGGAGGAAACTTTGGATAAGCCCCAGCAAGGCTCTGGCAGAAGAGACTGCATGGATTCCAGGCCTTCAGTGGAACCAGAGAACGCTTAAGTACTTTGGATCTTGCCAAAGCCTTGCAGAAACTTGCAACTAGTTGTACAGGTGAATCTCTGCCAGGAGTTCTCACAGGTGGTCTGAACTCCAGCCCCAGGCCCACCCCTACCCAGTCTTCAGATTTGGCAGAGATGATTCCAGGAGCTGGTCTGGGTATCTCACAGCTCCTCTGCAAACAATTTCCGGGGGACTGAGGAAGATATCAGGAAACAGGAAAGTGAAGATGGCAAGAGAGAGACTGAGGATAGCATTGATCGCAGACAGGCTAGCTATCAAGGCAGAAAAAGTGAGGGGCTAAGAAGGATGTCCTGACAAACACTGTTGAAAAAAAAGAGAAAATGGTGCAGATGAAATGGTACACCACAGCACTTTATTAATGACTCTCTGCAGTGTCTAAGTTTTTCTTGCTTTGAGCTTTTGAAACTTTAAAAAAAACTAATACTTTTCTTTCATTAAATTCTTTTGCGTGGCATAGAAAATATAGACAGTGATCTATTTATATTTGTTTGTTTGTTTTTTGCTGGCCCCTCAGCTTGTGGGATCTTAGTTTCCCCCGACGAGGGATCAAACCCGGGCCCACGGCAGTGAAAGCGCCGAGTCCTAACCACTGGACTGCCAAGGAATTCCCTAGACAGTGATCTTTTTGAGGGGAGTGATTTGGTTTCTGCTTAGAAGAGGAGATCTTTTCTCTTCATGTTGTTATCTCATTTTCCTCTCTATATATGTTATTTATTTGTATTTTAAAGTCAATAGAGAGTTATCAAAGTCATGGGATTATTTAGTATTTTTGCCCGTACAATCACAGAATAAAACCTACCTTTTCACAATAGATTATCCTTTTTTGTATAATACCCAGTAGATTCCAAAGTAATATTTCATTAAAGAGCTGTTATAATTATGTTCTCAAATAAGATATCTACTACTAGGTCTCTATTTTTGTGTTGTTGCATGCTAATTCAGAGTTGCATATAATGAGATACCAAACTTTTCCTTATTTTTACGGACATGGGCCTCTCACTGTTGTGACCTCTCCCATTGTGGAGAGCGGACCGGGGCATGAACCCGTGTCCCCTGCATCGGCAGGCGGACTCTCAACCACTGCGCCACCAGGGAAGCCCCTTTTTTCCTTATTTTTAAAGATGTTTATGTGTTGAAAATTTGATTCATGAAAATTGACATGCCATTCGGGGTACCGTGATATCAAAAGAGACTGTTTTCAGCATCATTAATCTAACAATAAGTCACTGCTTGTTGGGATTTATTTGCCTTTTTGCCTCATCAAGCATGTTGTATTATTCAAATCCTCTTTATCATAACTTACTTTCGTCTGAGGGATTTATAGTTTCTGAGAGCGAGGTGTTAAACAATAATAGAGCATCTGTAGTAAAACAATAATAGAGTATCTGTAGTGTTTGTTTCATGCCTGGGATGCTTCACACTGCCTGTTAGAGAGTCTCTGCTTTAACTGTTTGGTTAGATTCAGTGCAAAAAATAATGAAAAAAAGACTATCTTTTTTTCTCTCAGACCTTTCCTCTGAGTTTTATTAATCTTTAAATACAGAGCAGACCCTATCTCTCTAGAGTTTGGTATTACTCAGGGATTCAGTCTTCCCAGATACCTAGTCATTTCAGCTCCCAAGTCCCACGGCTGACTGCAGAGTCATGTCAGACCCACTCATTCCTTCTTGGTCTGTTTCCCACCTTGGAGGACCTGTGATGAGGGAAAGGAGTCACCAAGGCAGATTTTCTGGACGTCCTGGTGAATCTGAACATCAGAGAACGAAGTAGTTCTAGGGGAACTTGAGACTGTCAGGGCTTCAGGGAAGGGGGTGCAGAATATGGAGGAATAGAGATGGGGTGATGGCTGCGCAGGAGTCAAGGAGAGACGTGTGTAGTGGGTGACTAGGTAGGCAAACCTCACACTTAAGTGGGATGTTGATTTTGTTCATTGACAATGTCTGTGCCTGTTTCACCAATCCTTGTGTCCCTGAGGGATGATATGGTGTGAAACCATAAGACAGAAGTTGCAGTTGTCTTTAGGACATAATGAAGGGGAAAAATTTTATCTCAGTACATTGTGAACCAGGTAGGGGCCAAGTCAAGAAAGACCCAGAGGTTGTGTCTGACCAATGTGGTTTATTTCTGTTCCGGCCAAGCTCCTTTGGAGCCTGACTGGGAAAAGGGGACTCAAGCAGATGTCATTGCAGCTTCCTCAGGTCCAGGTGTGGCAGGTAATAATAGCCCAGGCGTTGTTGCTGAGCCTCGCAGTCTTCCTCCTCCTTCCGCCTGGAGACGGTGACCTGTGAGGGTGAGCAGAGGGCATCAGAATGGACCAGTCATTGCCAAGTATCGGGGGCTACAGGGGAGGGATATGGCCACAGCCACAGAGACCTGATGTTCCTGTGTGTCTCTCTTCCTTTTTTCTCTTTTTCTCTTAATTTTCTCTCCCAGCCCTTTTCCTCTCTTTTCTCCCTCTTTCACCTCTTTCTCTTCTTCTCTTTTCCTTTTAACTCTCTTTTTTTTCTACCATTTTCTCTCTGATATCCCCTTCATATCTTCTGTTTTCCTCCCCCCACCCCAGCTTAACTGATGTATAACTGACATACAGTAAACTGCATACATTTAAAGTGAATGATTTGATAAGTTTGGATTATAAACTTATTGAACCATCCCCACAATCGAAATAAGGGATGCTCATTATCCCCCCAATTGTCCTCATGTTCTTTTGCAATTCCTCCTCCCCTGCTATTTACAAACACATTCTTATTTCCAGACAACCACTGATCTGATTTCTGGCCTCTGAGATTAGCTAGTATTTTCAAGAGTTTGTTTATAAATGGAATCATACAGTAAGTACTCTTTTTCATCTGACTTCTTTCATTCAGCATAATTATTTTGAGATTAATCATTGCATGTGTTAATAATCCAGTACTATTGCTAAATAGTATTGAATTGTGTGGATATACCACAGTTTGTTTATCCCTTCACCTGTTGATGGACTTCTGGGTTGTTTTTAGTCTTTGGTTAGTACAAATATTATTATGAACATCTGTGTACGAGTCTTTGTATAGACATATGTTTTCATTTCTCTTGGATAAATTCCTAGGACTGGATGGTTGCATAGATGTATGTAACTTCTTTTAAAATTTATCTTTTAATTGAACTACAGTTGGTTTACAATGTGTTAATTCTGCTGTACCGCAAAGTGACTCAGTTATACACATATATACATTCTTTTATATTCTTTTCTATTATGGTTTAATCTCAGGATATTGGATATAGTTCCCTGTGCTATACAGTAGGACCTTGGTTAGCCATTCTATATGTAATAGTTTGCATCTACTAATGTAACTTTTAAAGATGTGTCCATGTTATTTTTTACCAGCACTATATGTGAGTTCCAGTTGCTTCATATCTTCACTAACACTTGTTATCTTTTTTTTTTTATTTTTTTGCGGTACACGGGCCTCTCACTGCTGCGGCCTCTCCCCCTGCGGAGCACAGGCTCCGGACACGCAGGCCCAGCGGCCATGGCCCACGGGCCCAGCCGCTCCGCGACATGCGGGATCCTCCCAGACCGGGGCACGAACCCGCGCCCCCCGCATCGGCAGGCGGACTCCCAACCACTGCGCCACCAGGGAAGCCCACTTGTTATCTTTTTAATTTTAGCCATTCTCATGTGTAGTGGTATCTCATTATGACTTTCATTTACATTTCCCTAATGACTAATGCTGTTAAGAAAAGGAAAAGGCAAACTACACTCAGACTAGGAGAAAATATTTGCAAAACATATCCCCAGCAGAAGACAGGTATTTGTAATATATAAAGGGCTCTTACAACCTGATAGTAAGAAGACAACAACACTTTCTTGCTAACCAGAAAACAGCAGATCAGGCACGTGATGAGCACCAGGAGTCCTGCCAGGCAGATGAGGATGATGGCCCAGAAGGGGAGGTCTGGGGAGACAAGTGCTTGTGTGAGCCACCTCCTATCATTCCCCTAGGGCTCCTGATCCCCCCTACTGTGCCTCAAAGTCCTTAGCAAGGGTTGGCCAACATTCATCATCATCCAATACCCTGGGTACATGGTTCCCTTTAGTGAGGCAGAGAATCAAAATATTCCCTCCCCATCCTGGGCTGGAGCGTCTTTGAGGCTTACCCGAATTCTCAGTCAAGACATCGTTTCTATTGGGAGAATACCCTGAAAGTGAATGAAATGGAGAATGCATGTGAGTGTGTTTTACTTTTTTAAATAAAACTTTTCAAATACACAGAAAAATAGAACCACATTATAAACGTCCATCACCTAGAAATAACAATATATAATTTATCCAGTTAAAACAGTATCATGGGCTTCCCTGGTGGCGCAGTGGTTGAGAGTCCGCCTGCCGATGCAGGGGACGCAGG